ACGCATTGCAGACAGGAGAGACCAACAAGATGTGGAGGGTTTCAAGCATATGGATTTAACAATCCTCCATGATAACGCAGTTCACTCTTCAAAGTAGCCAAAAGAGAGTACGAGGCTGGGGGGTCTTCGTGACCAGCAGTAGGACACAGTTAACAAGAAGGTTTTATTTTCTTTCCATCGTGCCCTTGAGATGGACAGATACCGTTTCTGAAATTTCTGAATCATGTTAAACTCAGGGCACTATTTTTGTCCTCTAAGACTGGAGATCAGAAACAGCGCACGTATGATTTGAAATAAAGTCAGGTGGCCCTCTCAGTTCAACAACTTAAATTTTTTGGGTACACTACTGCAATAAAGTGCTTTTGACACAAAATTCTGGATATCCTCCTACCATTGTCAGAGAAGACCAATCAGCACTCCACTGGTGGACCTGAACAAGCAAAACCCACGCCATTGTGACCTAGTTCACATTTGTCACAAAAAGAAGAAACTATATTGGAAATGGAACATGTGAGAAAAGCCCCAAAATAAGAAAGCCAATCCAGAAAATACCCATGTAGTTTTAACTCTGACACTTTGGATTCAATTTTGCTATTTTCCTGGCCACTAAAAAGTGGGTACGTGGGGCCAACAGGTGGCATGAGGTTAAGATGCTGGATCCCAGAATGCCGACTATGTGGTTTGAGTCTTGGACCCACTCAGATGCACCCAGGCCAGGTGCATCTGAGTGCCCAAAAATCCCAAGAGGAGCCTGGAGAAGAAGGGACTGTGGCATGGTCAACCCCCTGGGAGGTGTGATTTCTCACTTTGTTCTCTGTCTTTCTTTGATGAGGGCATGTACCCTATAGCAAAACTTAAAAGAAAAAAAAAAAGTGGATATGCAATAAGATTTAAGTCACAAGCCTCAACTATTTAAGTAAGCATTCTTTTAAAACTTACCTACACAGAATAGGTGAATTATAGCCCAAAAATATCCATCTGGATCAAACTATAACACAGGATGAAGAAAAGAAAAAATGGTCATAAACACAGACAAACAGGACCCAGTGTGGAGATCAGAACTCAGCTGTTAACACACAGTGCCAGGCAAGGATTCCAAACGGGAACTCCTGGGGCCTTAGTCAGTTCCTCCCCAGTTCCCAGATGCCTACAATGTCTTCCTAATGGGACTCTGTGTCCAGCACCCCTCTCCCCACACTTCCGTCACACGGTGTTTGGATCCAAACTCATGACACCGAAGGATCTCTATGACAAGCCCAATAACCCCTCCGCTCGCATCCATGGCATCAGCCCTCCAAGAAAACAAAATGACTTGCATTTCCCTAAGTATGAATGCTTTCCCCTGTAACTTAGCCAAAGGCACTCCCTCCTCTTCCTTCCTTATTCTCTGTCAGATTTAAAATCATCTGACACACTCTATATTTTACTTATTCTTTGTTTATCTGTCTCTATCTCCACCCACTCTCCCCTACATTGTAAATTCCAGAAGGACAGGAATTAGGACAGAGAGAGAGACATAGTAGGTGCCCGGCAAAGTTGGATCACAGACTACCCAGGACACGTGCAGAACTTCGCCCTCGCCTGCTTTCTTCTGCTGGCTAACTCCTCCTCATTCTTCCCAATTTAAGTCCAGTAAGCAGAGCCTGAATTTAGCATTAGAAAGATCTGGGTAAAATCTAAGTCCCCACTTAGTTAGCTGGTAACCTTTTGGACTTCAGTATTCTCTAGCAATGAACTGCAGATAATAATAGTCCCTACCCTTATAGAAACGCTCTGAGGTGTTAAATAAGTGAAGGCACGCAGAGCGCTGGCACAGGGCCTGGTGCACAGCAGGCCGCCTGTGATCACTGGTTATTCTTACTTCTGCTTCTGAGTTACTTCACGGCCGTGTCCCACATCTCTTGGGATAGAGCCCTGGTTTCCCTGTGGCATGATGCTCTGTTTACTCGTCAGTTCCCTCCTCTTTGCTCTGCACAGATCCCAACTTCTACCAGGACAAAGATCAATCATCTTTGTGCCCCCAGAGCCTAGCTCAGCGCCTGACATTGAAGAAGACTTAATAATGCTGGGAGGGAAGGAGGGAGAGAAAAAGAAAAGAAATCCAAGGAGGTGACACCTAGGGGTGGGGGTGGGGTGGGTCATGAGCTCTCATAAAGGAGGTAACTCCTAGGGGTGGGGGTGGGTCATCAGCACTCATGAAGAAAGCACGTACAGGATAATGAAGTGGAAATCCCTCCACAGAAGATGAGGCTCTGTGGAGGGGAGGAAAGCTCAACTTCATCACCATGTACAGAGGACAGGCTGCATGCACCATACCACCCAGAGCCAGAGTGCTGTGGACCATGCTGCAGCAGCCTTGGGGAAACGGCAAAGGCCTGGACAAAGGGATTGGGTCAGCCCAAAGTTCCCAGTCTGAAGGCTTTTCAATAACTTTGCATGGCCAGCTTCTCCTGATTCTAAAGGAGAGGACTGGGAAATTCTGCTCAAAAAGCAGGCGTCAGAGAGTAAAAAAGGCTTTGAAGGGAAAATGAGTTCACCTGGACTTACCTGGGAGTCGTTGAAGGGAAGGCATCCAGCAGAGGCCAGGAGGAAGAGGGCACTGTGGAAGGGGAGATAAAACGTGGCAGCTCACCTTGCAACATCAAAGGGCTTCCCAGAGAGCGCGGAGGTGGAAAGGCGCCATTGGAGTTTGGAGGAGGCGAAGATCCTGTGAGACCAACCCAGTTCCCCTCTCCCTCCTCTGAGAACACGACCACCTCTGTAATTTTCAATTCTGTGCTCTGCTAATAACCAGACATTCCCTTCCCTGGGGCTCGGCGAGCCATTTCCAGAGTCAGGACATCTGCGAACCCACAGTGGATCGCTGGAGAAAAAGTGTGCCTGTCAGACAGCTAATAAAAGGAGGTATTTTTTCATCTCTAAGATCAACGGCTCTTAGAGAATACATGAGTGGCAACCAGGCGACCAAACCACAATTATGCCAGTTATAAAAATGAAAAGAGGGGCCAGATGGTGGCCCAGTGCTAACACAACTGGACCCATATGAGAAAGGGCCTGGGTTCGTGTCTTAGGACTCCCTGAACACACTGGTCTTGTGTGCCCCAAGTCTTGCCCAGTGAAGGGGGGGGTGGGGTGTAAACATCTTGTTAGGGAAGCTTCTCTGTTTCTCATGAGGAAAACCAAAATAAACAAACAAAAAAACCTAATAAAACACCTGGGAAGCCCAAAAAATTGGCTTGTATGCCACCTAACCAAATGATCAAACTGGTATTTCCAATGACAGGAGAGCTGTGTGTCACACGCTTCCTGCTACAGCACACGGAAGCATCACCACACGTGTTCCTGCCAAACGTGTGGAACCATAACTGAAGTAGAAGGAGATGACGACATAAACTCACATTTAGGGAGTAGCCATAAAAATGTGAAGGCGAGGTCAGCAGTTGGCGTGGTGGTTAAGACGCTGGACTCTCACATGGCCAAACATGGTTTGGGTCTGAGACACAGAGGCTTGAAAATCATGCCAGGTGAATGTGTGTGCAGGCATGCCCAAACTCCTGAGAGGGGAATAGAGGAGAAGGATTTGGGCCATGGCCACCCCCCCAACACACACACTGGGCGCTGAGTTCTCTCTCTTTGTCTCTTCCCGGTGAGCACACATGCCCTGTGGTGAAAACCTAAAAAAAATGTGAAGGCACCGAAAGACCACAAAGGGCCATGTAACTGTTCCAGATAAAAGAGATGCAAAACAGACACATCTTCGGAGGAGAAAGTGCTATGGAACATTATGTTGAGATAACTAGCAAATCTGAACATGGACTGAAAATTATATATCATACCAATGTTACATAGTAGATATTAGTATTCTAAAGTGAATAACTGTACTTTTGTTATATAAGGGATTGTTGTTTTTGGGAGATAACACTTTGAAGTATTGAGGGGGCATGATCTTTGCAACTCTCAAGTGTTCACAAAAAATAAGAGCAACAGGAACCAGCAGTTAGTGTAATGGCTGTCGCTGGATTCCAGTGTAGTCCACTGCGGTTCGAGTCCCAGACCCAGTGGCTTAAACTCACTCCAGGCGCGTGTGTGTGTGTGTGTCCAAGATCCTGAGAGGAGAATGGAGGAGAAGGGACTGAGGTGTGGCCATCCCCCTTGGGGGGTGATTTCTCGCTTTCTGTCTCTCTCTGTCTTTCTGGCACGTTGCACGTGCCATATACCAAAAACAACAACAACAACAACAAAAAAAAAACCTCTCAAAAAATAATAATAAGAGCAATAATAAGGATACGTATTCTGGGGCCAGCAGGTGGAATGGTGGTTAAGGAACTGAACTCCCACACATGGCAGCTGAAATTCAAGTCCTGGACCCAGATGCTTGTTTTCTCGCTTTCCCTCTCTTTCTCTCTCCGGTCAAATTTTAAGAATAATAATAATAATAACAATAAATAAAATTGAACAGATAATTCTTTTTTAAAAAAGAATATGTATTCTTGTTATCTTGTGTGTGCACATGCAGAAGCCTATGGGGATAGCAAGAAAGCAAATATAAAAAAATGTTACCAGTGAGTGAATCTAAGTGAATGGGGGAGTCTACTGCAATATTCTTCTGGAAACTTTTTTCTTGAGATAAAAAATTTTATTAGAGGGGACCAGCAGTTAGCGTAATGGCTATGTCGCTGGACTCCCACGTAGTCGACCGCAGTTCGAGTCCTGGACCCGGTGACTTAAACTCATGCCGGGCGCGTGTGTGTGCGTGCCCAAGATCCCAAGACGAGAATGGAGGAGAAGGGATTGCGGCGTGGCCATCCCCTCTGGGGGGGTGATTTCTTGCTTTCTATCTCTCTGTCTCTCTCTGTCTGGCGAGCGCACACACCCTATAGCAAAAACCTCTCCAAAAAAAAAAAAATTTATTAGAAAAAGCCTCTTAGGGGCCAGAGGGTAGTGTGGTGGTTAAGGTGCTGGACTCTCATACGGTCGACCATAGTTCGAGTCCTAGAACCAGCAGCTTGAAACTCCACCAGGTGCAGGTGTACGTGTACCCAAAATCCCAAGAGGAGAAGGGACTGGGCCATGGACATTTCCCTGGGGGATGATTTTTCATTTTCTCTCTTTCTTTCTCTGGGTCTCTGGTGAGGCATGACCCCAAAAGAAAAAAAAAATCCTCCCAAAATATCTCTTATATATTCTAAAATATTTACAGATAAAAAGCTATGGGGACGGGCATTTTCTTCAAAGTAATACTGAAATGAGGCAGTATGTGGGACAACAAATTGAAAACTGTTGAAGCTGGGAGATGAGTATACGAGGCTTCATTAGATTTTTCTGCCCAATATACATTTAGAGATTGCCACAGTAAACCAGTTTTAAAAATACTTGCACAGGGCTGGTGCTGTAGCACAGCGGAGCTGGATCCCACACGACTGACCTTTGTTCAAATCCTGGCTCTAGCTGTTTGAAAAACACATTGGGTGTGTGCGCATGTGTGCTCAAAATCCCGATGGGAGGGAGAGCAGTGTGACCAAGCCTCACTGGGGGTGCTCTCCTCTCTGTTCCTCTCTCTCTCGCTGAGTGTATGTACCCTCTGGCAATTTTTAAAAAAGACTTCTTAAATTCTTGCACAAAAAGGTAACATTACCAATCATAGACACTTTAAAAAGCTATCCTCATTCATTAGCATCTCTCCTAGGTTTCACTGCTGAAAGGTGTTTCCCCTAGCTTTCCCCAATCATTCTCTTCTCCTAAAAGAAGACACCAGAAAACACAAAACCCAGACTATCACTTTGACTCTCTCTGCTTTCCATTTTATAAATACTACATATACAGTGTTGGACCCCATCACTGGCCTTTGCATGAGGCAGCAAGCAGCCAAGGAGCAGAGGCATGAACAAAGGCATTTTTCACTTCTAGAGGACTGGTCATATGCCACGGCATATCATATTCTCATGCATACAGAGTTCCATATCCTATATACGGACTATGTGTTATTATATAGATACACACACACACACACATGTATGCACACACATAGGTATTACGTATATATAACATACAACAACCTGAAATTTATCATCTTAACATGCTGGAAACAGTGATGCTAATCAGTCTGCCAGTCCTCACTGCTGTAACTATATACAGTTGCATACTGTGCCTGACAGACCCACATGGCTGGCTGGCCCAGAGGAATCCTCATAACTGAGGCCTCACGGTCTTGGAAAAGTCAGGACAACACGAGGTAGCTCGGTGTGCAGAAAGCTTCTCTACTCCAGCCCACTCTGTTCCTAAGGCCTTGTTGACTTCCTTTTTGGTTGTCAGAGGGTGTGTGCACCCTCCAGAGAAAGAGAGGCAGAAAGAGAGAGGGAGAAAGCACTCCCCAGTGGGGTGAGGTCATACTACAGTCCCTTCTCCTCCATTTCTCCATCTTGTAGGAGTTTGGGGGCAGGCAAGCACACACATGTACTCAGTGTGTTTTCCAAGCTACTGGGGCTGGGATTTGAACCCCAGTTGGCAATGTAGGATCTGGCTCTCTGAACCACTGGGCTAACCAGGGGCTGGCCCTGGCTTTGCTAACTTTAAAGGCACACACTTATGTGACCTGGAGAAGTCACTCCATCCCACGAGAGAGTAGACTGGGACACTCAAAAGTGAAACCACTCCCTTGTTTCCCACCACCTGGGCCCTGAGCACCTGATTACATCAGGTATTATGGCCTTCAGTGCTTCTTTTTAACTCCTGATAATCTTCTTTGAAACAAGGGGATGAGTCCTGAGGTTTTGTTTTGTTTTGTTTTCCTATACTAAAGTTTGTGTTGGGGAGGTGGATGAAAGCCCCCTAAAACTTTTTTTTTTTAAGGTTTTAGCCATAGGGCTGTGGGCCAGCCCTAGTGGAGAGAGACAGTGAGAGAGAAAGTTAGAAATCACCCCTGGGGGAGGGCCACTTAGCAATCTCTTCATCCTTTCTCCTCCATTCTCCTCCTGAGATTCTGGGGACACTTGCACATGTGCCCGGCATGAATTTCAAGCTGCCAGGTGTGGGACTTGAATCGCGATCAACAATGTGGGAGTCCAGCACCCTAACTGCCATATTACCTGTTATCCCCATGTCCAGAAATATCTGACACAAAAATCCGAAAGCCATGTATCAAACTGTATCTGTTGGTTTCTACCAAGAGGACTAAACTTCTTAGCTACTACAGAGGAAGCAGGAAGCAGTCAGAACAAGGCCCCCAGGATGAAATCAGAGGGACGAGGCACCTAGGCCTGCTTCCTGATCCAGAGGCGAGACTGAGGCACAGAACATTAGGGAGCCTGCCCACGATCACCGTGCTGTACCCTGGAACTACAATGAAAATCCCAGCTCTCAGGACTAGCAGTTGGAGTAATGGCTATGTCGCTGGACTGCCATGTAGTCGACTGTGGTT